GAAGTTTCCAGGAGAAAAGGTCATGCTTTCGTTCAAAACATAAAAGTAAAACCTTTCAGTCCGCGGTCTCAGACCCTCTTTATCCAAGACCTCTACTCGTTAGTTCATACGAACTAATAGAGTCACACTATCAAGGAGTGTCAGGTCGCCTACCAAACCCCTCGCGTACAGTCAGACAGGACCACACCAGGTGAACACAAAAGTAGATTCGGGATCTCATTACAGTCACAAACATGGTTACTACTAAAATCTCGAATGAATGTACAGAGGCAGACCAAGACTTTTCGAGATACCTCTACTACCATATAAGTAAAAGGTCTACTAACCGTGGACGGGTCGATACACGGTTTTGGTGGCACATTGACCACATAGACCTAGGGACCGATGAATGACAGAAAGCTAACCGGACGGTTTAAGGGGACTGGACTTGCAACTGTCCAGTGCTTCTTTTCCTTAGCCCAAGTCAGACGCCTCTTCCGTTGTCTTGAGTTCAGAAGTGGCTTGACCATGGGAATACGGCTATTGTAGCCCATTTCCCGGACACGTCTGTGAACAGTGACTTTTGATACCTGGACTCCAGCTTCAGTCCACTGTCTTTGAAGCTCCCCCAAATTCTGGAAGCGACTCTTCTTCACAATGCTGTTAAGGCTGCGGTCATCTCTCTTGGTTGTGCAGCGTTTCCTGCCACATTTCCCCCTTCCAACAGACTTTTTGTGGATGTGCTTTGAAACTGCACTCTGTGAACAGCTTGCTCTTTGAGAAATTTCTTTTTGTGTCTTACCCTCCTGATGGAGGGTGTCAATGACGGTCCTCTGGACAGCAGTCAGATCAGCAGTCTTCCCCATACTTGTGATTTAGTTTACTGAACCAAGCTGAGTGTTTTTCAAGGCTCAGGAAACCCTTGCAGGTGTTTCGAGTTAATTAGACGATTCAAGTGATTCGTTGAACACCCTACTAGTATACTTTTTCATGATATTCTAATATTTAGAGATAGGATATTTGAGTTTTCTTAAGCTGTATGCCATAATCAGCAATATTAAAATAATAAAAGGCTTGCAATATTTCAGTTGATTTGTAATGAATCCAGAATGTATGACATTTTTGTTTTTTTAATTGCATTACAGAAAATAAAGAACTTTATCACAATATTCTAATTTTCTGAGACAGTCCTGTATATATAAAAATGTAAAGCTTTTTTTTAAGGTACCCATGTTTTAATGGACCCATGCTTAGAAAAAATTAAGAAAAGTCACATTCATAATTCAGTTTGAAACTTTGGTTCCATTACATGTCTCATCCTACAACCTCCTATTTGTGATGCATCAGTACGAAATTCATACTTTCTTCTCATCTTGGTGCCTTATCAGTCCCATATATGGACATGTTTCTCTATGTGCGATCCATCTTACCGGGGCGGAGGTCTCGGAGCACCGTGGGAGCACAAGGGTCTCCAGCTGGGACATGCGCAGGTAGACGTGGGTGGAGGGAGTGGAAGGGTTGATGTATCTCATCACCTCCAGAGCCTCCAGGATGTCCTGGTACTGCTCCTTCCTGTAGCCTCCCACCAGAGAGTGAGAGTCATTGTGGGGGGGTAAGATGCCTGCAGGAAATTTTTTTGGCATTATAGGTTGTGCGAGCACATTTGGTAGTTCGTGCCATTACTGTGATATGTGTTTGTCTTACCTAGCAACACCTTCCACACATGGATCCTGTACATAGAGGGGAGGGGGAACCTCTGACTGAAGGTGCTCAGCTTTTCTAGATCTGTTAGAAAAAAAAAAACAATGGTAAAAAGACAAGGACTGACTTACTGCCCCTAGAACCTAACCACAAACTAATGAGAAATAATGTTAAGGCAGTGGGTGGAAATAACAATATGTGTCAGCGCAATTCATCTTGTTCAACTCTCGTACATACTACTGAACGAGACCTGGCGTCGTGGCGCGCCGATCCAGGAGTTTGGCTCCCCCGGGAGAAACCAGCGTTAATATTGTCAATGTGCAGGCCATGGATGTATTTTAAAGAATGTGTAGGCTTGAACATATTTTTAAAAGTAAGCTGATGGGGAGAAAATAAACGTTATGTATGCGAATGTGAGATAGTTGTGACATAACACAGGTCTTTGAGCTAACTGTGTGTGTGAGTCTGGTGGTCAGCCCTGAGCAACATAGGCAACAACAGCAGATATGGCAGAACGTGAATAATTCTTTTCATCACAATTCATATTATACTATATTGCTCTGATGGTTCGAAACTGGGACAACATATTGGGAATGCGCCTGAAATCGTATTTTCATTTCTTAAATGTGAATATGTGTCTTAAACTGTGTTGTTTCAGGGGAGTGAAATTCAAGATACACTTATGTTGTTAAAGATAGGCAGACATATTAGTAATTAACCTAATATTTTTATCTGGGTCAAGGCCCTCACTAATACAATTCCAACCCATGGATTTAAGTCTTCCGGGTCTGTACTGAACGAATCAGGCTTATCTTTTTTTCTGCTTATTTATAGCTGTTTGGAACTCTCGGTGTCTTGGTTAGTTACAAGTTAAAGAAACCATCATTGAATGCTTAGTTCTCATTGCAATGAGCCGAACATAGCAGACTCGCTCCTTCAACATCTTCCACATGCCTCAGCTGAAACTGAGAGGGGCGGGTTTGCAACTGTAAGCCTATATAGGACAAAGTGCTTTAAATTAACTAAATATAAATGATACAAAATAGCAGTTTCATCAGAAATAATATGGATTCTTTTAAAATGAATTCAAGTGTGAATTTGTTTATATGGGGCAATCTAAATAGATATAATAACTTATTTCCTCAACATTTTGTTAGTATTTTTATCAGGCCACAAACAACTATACATGAATCGAACAACAGAAACAACATTATCATTTTTGGGACATTCACTTGGTGATGGTTAAAACAACAAACAAACAAACAAGAGTTTGTCAGGCCAAGATCTGCACTCTTCTGAATGCACCAATTTCAGGCAGCGCGGATTGGAGGCAATGTTTAAAGACTAATATTGGTGATATAGAACTGTTACCTACCGAGGGGATTGTCCTTGAGCAGTATTTCCAGAGATTTCTTCTCCTCCACTCCTCTGAAGCCCACTTTCTCATAATATGCAGAGCGGAAATTTCTCTGAGGGTCATCAGCCATTCTTTTACCTGGTAAATGACACCTACACAACATTTCCAAAAACCTTTAGCGTGCACTTTTACATGACATTTTCTGTGGCATATTAAAAGGGGAAAAAATGAAACAGTCGACCAAAGGTTGTCTGTTGTGGTGGAGTGAAACTAAGTATATATACGCACATACTGTGCTTAAACACCAATGTGAAGTACTTTTAGTTTAAACTTGTTACCCAAATATTATATTTACTTGTATATACTCTTCTTGCACTATCTATTTTATTTGTTCTATATCGCGCTGTTGGAGGAGCCAAGACCTACGTTTTTCAATGACATATCTACACTGTAGTGTAGCTAATGCACAAATGACAATAACGCCTTGAATCTGGAAATACCCAACTACATCTACAGGGGGAAATCCAAATCAAAGAGAAATTAACTTTATACTGAACTACATTCATTAGTCAGCTTTAGTACCTAACTAGTAACTTAATACACGCAAGCATGCAATGAAGACACATGGTTCGAGCTTTAAATAATGTGTACTGCTTTTTCTATTGATTATTTAATTCGTTGTATTAATCGTTGTCACTTAGTGACAAGCGAAATGTGCCGAACTTAATTTAGTACATCACAACAATTTAGCATTTTACAACCGAGTGATACATGTTTGTCGGATAAATAGTACTCCTACCTTGCACAGGTGTGTTCAGACGACTATAAAGGTTAGCTTTACGCTAGTAAGCTAACTTCATAGCTTCAGGTAACGAGCTAACATTAACGCTAGTACGACGTGTTTGTATCTGTAACATTATCGACAAGATACATATGTTATTAGACATGTAGGTGCACGTTGTCGAGGCACTGCAGACAAATGCTTCATGTCCACAAGTCACATTTAGGACTGCTAGCTACATGCTAACCAGAGTTGTTATTATCAGGACACTTCCGGTTGGCACTGTCGAAATCTTCTTCTTCTTTTTCCGTGTTTATTGGCGGTTGGCAAACCAACTTGTAGGTGCATTACCGCCACCAACTGGACTGGAGTGTGGACAAGAGACTAAGCAGAAAACAATAAACAAAAGAAACAAAACAAAACAAAGAACCAAAACTCTAGATTATTTTAAATTGATCAATTTCTCTTAGAAACTTAATAATCTCACAATATATATTGCCTGATGTTTTCCCTAACAGCCTTGATAGTGACAAGTCATGGAATTTTGCTTTCTTCAATGTCTGGAAAAGCACATTTCTCTGAGTACTATATTTCCTGCAAAGCAGTAAAACATGCTCAACAGTTTCTAGCTGGCTACAGTGTATACACTTTCCGGTTGGATGCTTTCCTATTATACTTAATGTATGATTGAGACCTGTATGACCTATTCTCATCCGAGAAATGACATTTTCCTCCCTTCTTTTAAACCCCACCTTCCTTCCATCCCCCACATACCTTTGAATTTGATAAAGATGTCTTCCTGTATCACTAAGGTCCCAATGATCTTGCCATGTTGTTTGTGCATATTTCTGTATGAATGTTTTAACCTCCGCTTAGCTAAGTGGAATTTCTATGTCTATGTTCATACTTCTGAGTGTTTGTTTGGCCAGAATATCCACCTGTTCATTACCCTCCACACCAACATGAGCAGGAACCCAGATGAAACGAGTTGCTATGCCTTTGATTTGCATTTTATATAAAATTAGATATATTTCATTTATTATGTCCATTCTAGATGAAGATCTACCTGATCGTATACTCGATAATGCTGAAAAGCTGTCAGATGCAATTACACTATTATGTATTTCTTTCTCCTCTATCCATTTTAATGACAGTACCAATGCCAACAACTCTGTGATGTATACTGACACAAGGTCTGTTACACTTTTCTTGATATGTGTATTACTCACTGGGATATATACTGCTGCCCCTGCACGCCCTGTCTCTGGATCTTTGGAACCATCTGTAAATATGATTGTTGAGTCTGAGTGATATCTTGCAAAATAATTCTGGACTATGCGCCATACTGGTAGTTCTTTCTTTTCCTTTAAC